TGACTTGAAATCTTTGCGCACCTTTATGGCTTTCACAAAATGAATTTTCTCATACATCAAATTGTGGAGCTGCAATGTAGTGAAACCTACTGGTGCCTTAGCACATTCTGTTTCTGCTTTAACAYGATCCTCTTCTAGCAATATAGAACGATTTACCTTATCCCGGTCATCTGTCCGTTGATTTCGAAAAAACTATTCGCAGCGATACAGCCAGCCTAAGGGGTCTCCGTTGCCGTTGTACGACGGAGATTCCAGCCTGCTGTACTTAGGGATGACTGCGGCTATTGGGGCGACGACCTGCTGTTCGCCAGACGACTCCGTCAAGTCTGGTCGGCGAATGTTTGTGGTTAGAACCCCTATTGGATTCCTCTCCTTGTTAGAGAAATACGATTCCAGCAAGCGACGCAGCTCCCGGACATCGTCTTTGACCTCACGAACCTCCACGCTGGTTTCCACAAGCCTATGCTCCAGTTCGTGGACCCTGGATGATAGCTACTCCAGATCTCCCATGACGGTTGGCTCTGAAACCAAGTTGTTATGGGCCCGGGAATAGGATTGCGTCACGGGTCGGTCCACGGGGAAAAGCTCCTGTTTTCCCTTGTTCCTCCCCTTCCTAGTTGAACCTATCTTGGCGTCCTAGAGGGTGATTTGTCCAAGAGATCACCAAACTCTCCTTTTACTCTCTTTCTTGACTAGAAAATTGATATCCTCATTCAATAATGGGGTCTCCTTAAATAGGAGATTACAAGAGTCCTAATCAAAGGGAGTCTCCTTGCTGAATAGGGAGACTTCCAGTTCTATCTTGCTAAGGATAAGATAAGCTAATCCTAATCCGATAAGCTACTAACAAGATAAGATAAGAGCAATAGAATAAGATAAGAACAAGCAAGATGATCTAATCTAATCTAGATAAGGCTGTTGTTGCCGAACTAGGTAGGATGGGAATCATTGAATCACTGTTGCCGCTGGCGGTGGGTCAGGTGCTTGTTGCTGCCGGTGGCGATGGTACGTTTTCCCGAGGAATGCGTCCATAACACCTCGACTCCTAGGGAGAATCCATGATATGGTTACCTACTCCATCCAATGGTATAAAACTGAATTTTGATGGATGCAGCCTAAATCCAGGAAAATAAGGCATTGGAGGAGCTTTTCAAGACCACAGCGATGACATTCACTACATATTCTGGACCACTAGGTGTTGGGAATTCTATAAAAGCAGAACTCCAAGCATTGCTGCAAGATATCTGACAGGCTAGATCATTAGAATACTGAAATCTGCTTACAAGGGGATTCTAAAATGATTAATGGTTAACTGAAAAGAGAAGGTCCATGGAAGATTAGACATTTGATAAGGGTAGCGAGGCACTTGGTGACATTATTCGCAGCTGTATCAGGCTATATTCCTAGATCTGCTAACATTTTGTTGACTCTCTAGTGCAACAACAAAATAGTAGGCAACTAGGCAATCTCTGATATAGGATTAATAACCCTAGGATAAAGTCTCTTGTGAATTTAAAGAGCCATCTAGAGCTTTGGAGGAGCTCTAGGGGCTAGTTCTTTATATATTGTCTAGAAATATTTTGTATAATGTTTTTGAGAGAGCTGAAGAGAGAAAATCAAAGTTAACAAGTCAGATTGAAGAAATCAATAGGAAGGAGGAAAAAGGACATTTGGAGGAAAGAGAAAAGGAGAAGAGAGTTAAACTGAAAGAAGAGTTGGAAGTGACTTTATTGAGAGAGGAGATGACATGGAGGCAAAAATAAAGAGTGAAATGGATCAAAGGAGATGGGAATACAAGGTATTTTCACAAGGTAGAATATGGAAGAAGAAGAATCTTGTATCAATGCTAGAATTGGAGAATAGCACAATCACTCAATAGGAAGATATTGCTAAGGCCTTTGTGGATCACTTTAAATCAATTTATAGGAGGCCTTTAACAGAAAGGTGGGAAGTAGAGGGATTGGATTGGCCAATTTTGGAGAGTACCTTGATTTGGAGAGGAATTTTGATGAAAAAAGGTGAAGAGTGCAGTTTTTCTCCATGGATTGCTGCTCTCATTGTGGTGGTGAAAGGCATGTAAAAGAGACTTGTTGGGTTCTTTATCCTCATCTGAAACCAGCTGCTTTAAGGAAAGACAGGAAGCCCCAGAAGAATCAAACAGCAAGTGGGAATCATGTTACTAGTCACAGTGGTGGTAGCTCGAAGAACACATCTACAGTT